AACAAAAAGCAGAGCTGTCACTTCCTATTGCATTTTTCACTTTTTTATTTGGTTCATCTGGTTACCACAAAGCTAATGGGTCAGAAGGCTACTTCAAAGCAATGACACAAGTCTCTTCTATCTGATGGACAAGTCAGCACTGTACCTTAAAACATTGATATCCACATATCAGAACTCAAACAATATGAAAGGCTTAAATTGTGTTGTGTTTTTTGTGTGCTGAAATCTATGGGAAAACCTCAAACTATTTCTAAATGAGAAACATGAAGGAATTGGACGTGGTGAGATAGAAGCATCATTGTGGTGTGCACACTCATACCTCTACTCAATGATTACTCAGCCTCCTACCTTCAATCCGAACTCTTGGCAAAGGAATAAAATAAAAAACTGAAAGGGATGACAGTCGAAAGGGCCTAGGCACACATGCATGACCACACTTAACCCTTCCCTGAAGTTGCTGCTTCACCTCTGTAGCAAACCCTCAACAGTTTAAAAACTCAAACCGATTCCCCACAAGCAGCTGTGCCACCCTTGCTCTTCTGTTGCCCCCGCTTGCATTGGTCAATTTCACACTATTTGCTGCGCAGCCACATTTTGACTTGCAGCTTCCCCCGATTTCCCCCGTGTCTTCTCAATCCTTGTTTTTTGAGATTGGGGGGAGCTGTGGGTCAAAATGTGGCCATGCAGCGAATAGTGTGAAATTAACCAGTGCAAGTGGGAGAAACAGAAGAGCGAAGGCGGCACAACTGCTTGTGGGGAATCGGTCTCAGATACTTCAGATGCCAGACTAGAACAGGCCCCTCAAGTTTTGTAGGTCTCCTATTGGGATCTCTGGGAACCCCCTTCTCTGCATCCCTATTTGCAAGATTTTGGGATGCGTCAAAAACTTTCAAAACTTATTTGGCTAGAGATACCACTGAGGCAAAAGCAATTAGTATTTCTACTACAATATTGCTAGGTTAAACCAGGCATGATGCTGGGAGATCTGTAATTTTCTCAGCAAACAGCATGACAGGTTTGTATATAGTAAATTAGCATACAGCATAATGAAGATGTTTAACAGATTCAAGGATCAAATGCTAATTTACTGCTCACCCTCTACCTATATGTATGGACTGGTAATTTCCATTTCATTGTATCTGAATAATTGTGCGTGCATACAAACACCTTGAATAAAACTTTGTCTTAACTTTGTTCTGCTGCTTCGGGCCAACATGGCTGCCCACCTGAATCTATCTGTCTTACATAGTTTGTGAAATGACAGGAAAGTGGGAGCCCTCCTGACCTCCTCAGGCAGGCCATTTCCCAAGGGGGGGGGTAGCTGATGGCTAGTCAGTAAAGTGACCGAAAGAATGGGTATAGGAGGGCTCTTTTTGTAGCAGGAACTCCTTTGCATATTAGGTGACACACCCCTAATGTAGCCAATCCTCCAAGAGCTACAAAAAGAGCCCTGTCATGTTCTGTCTAATGTCTAGTAACAATCGAGTTGCAGATTTCTGTACTAACTGGAGTCCAGGCCTGTAGCTACAGTGGGGCCTCCCGGGGCCCGCCTGCCCCGACTTGCTGCCAAGGCCCCATAACTTTTGGGAAGGAGTGGTAGGGGAGGCTTTGTGCGCCTGCACTCCAAGCTGTGAATTTGTCTCTTTAAATGCTTTGGGGGAGAAGCGGGGGCTGTGCACCCGCACTACAAGCTGCGAATTCACGGCTTGGCATGCAGACGCACATGGCCTCCCCCCCCCTTCTTACGTGAGTTTCTTTAGCTCAGTCTATGTGAATTTTTTAAATTTTTATTTCAGTTCCCCTTGACTTTTTAAAATGTCCCCCAAATTAAAAAAAATAAATCCTGGCTACGGGCCTGCTCGAGTCTCCAATTTAACTTCAAGGGCAGACCCATGTAGAATGCATTACAATAATCTAGCTTCAAAGTTACCATGGCATGGATCCAGATGGCTAGATCAGTTGAGTCAAGGTCAGTGCTATCTTCCAGGCTTGTATATAATAAACATTAAAATGTCATAAAAGATACAAACAAAAATAGGGAATAGATGGAATGAAAATAACCTTTCTGACCATGCACATTTAAAAAAAAAAAAATGAACAAAACCCCATAATCATACTTCCTTATTTCAAAAGGAGAAGAAAAAGTCTCTCAGAGCTTCAGTTTGTAAGAAGTCATATGCTTTCCCAATGGAAAATAGGCGAGTGAAACACATGTTAATATCAGTTGACTTCTTCAAGCGTTCTCAGAAGGCAACTGGATGCTATAAAGGACTGCTGAAGTTGTAATAAAAATAGAGTAGAATACTTAACATGAATGATTTTAGTTATTTGTTCAAGGAAGTAGTATTTGGTTACCTTAGGGACAGATCCTGGTGAGTTATAGATCAATTCCTCCATTATTTGTTTAGAAGGATGGCTCATAGCCAAGAGTGTTCTGAATAATTGGATGTGAACCACTGACACAGCATGAGACCCCTTAGGTTGGCCTTTTGTGCCTTAGTCAATTGGAAAACAGAACCCAAAGGAAGGATCTTGACCACTACTGAAATTCAAACTGAATGAGAGCCAGGATGGTAAAGGGGTTGGGTCTAAATCCCAGTTCCAGCCATGGAATCTCACTAGGTGATCACAGGCCAGTCACTCTCTCTCAGCCTAACTTACCTCATGGGGTTGTTGTGGTTATAACATAAATGGGGGAAACCATATAAGTTGCCCTCAGCTCCCTGAAAGAAGGGCAGGATAAACACCTGATAGAAATGATAAATCTGAAGCAGGGTCCTCACTGAATAATATGCAGCCCAACCATATACATGTTTCACTTCTACTTAGTTTAGGGATTTATTTTCAAGGAAGTGTGAAAAGAATTACAGTCCAAATTCCAGGTAGGCAGCCATGTTTCCGTCGCCATTGGGCATAAATATCATGGGAGTACCACCTGGAACTGTGTTGATTCTATCCTGGACGTATGAGATTAGTAATTGACTGAGCACCATTGTTTTAAGTGTTGGAATGTTTTATATGTTTTTAATTATGGCACGGCTAATTACTCTGCCCTTGTTAGCCACCTTGAGCCCACTGGGGAGGGCGAGATATAAACGTGAAAAATAGACAAATAAATAAATAAATGTTGGTCTGAAGCAGCAGAACACATTTAGAGTCCAGTGGCACCTTTAAAACCAACAAAGGTTTATTCAAGGTATGAGCTTTCGTGTGCACGCACACTTTTCCAAATATTTGAATTTGAAATTGAAAAAGTGTGCATGCACACAAAAGCTCATACCTTGAATAAACCTTTGTTGGTTTTAAAGGTGCCACTGGACTCTAAATTAGTCCAAATTCCAGATTAGCATGCTTCCTCTCAGATGTGAACTCCTATATAGTAAAGGTAAAGGTTCCCTTGCTCGAAAGCCAGTCGAGTCCGACTCTAGGGATGCGGTGCTCATCTCCGTTTCAAAGCCGAAGAGCCAGCGCTGTCCGAAGATGTTTCCGTGGTCATGTGGCCGGCATGACTAAACACCAAGGTGCACGGAACGCTGTTACCTTCCCACCGAAGTGGTACCTATTTATCTACTTGCAATTTCTTGCTTTCGAACTGCTAGGTTGGCAGGAGCTGGAACTAGAGACGGGAGCTCACTCCGTCATGCGGCAGCTCAGGTCTCGAACTGCTGAACTACCGACCTTCCACAGCCTGCAGTTCTGCAGCTCCTGAACTCCTATATACTATGGCTCAATTCACGACACATTTTTGTATGATGCCATTCTATTCCTAAACTGTTCTGGCTCTGTAAACTGCCTGAGTGGGAAGTCATTATTCATTCCTGGAGGAAAAGTTGCTAATGTAGCCATTTAATATTTGTGCTACACAGCAGATGGTATAATTCTACTTTTTAAAAAGGCAATAATGTTAGAGGGGAAAAATATGAAAACAGCTAAGCCATGTGATGTGCAAAACATACAATTTTACAAACTGTTAGCCAGCTGCAAAACAGATCAAGAAAAGAAAATGAAATCATAAATTGGATTTGAGCAGGTTAAAACAGCAGAATGGGACTGCACACATGGTATCCCTGGATTTTAAAAACTGCATTCAGGCTTTAACAGGTTGAAAAACATGAAAAGCTTAGCTGAATGCAGAGATACATAATGGATTCTTCCGTTGGATTTAAGCACAGGATTCAATAACATGATCAGCTAGTAATGAAATATGGAACAGAAATACAGAACTGCGGCCACTGTTCAGGTTACTATAAAAATATCAAGTTAACTCAAAGTATAATAAATACCTCTCAAAAGCTGGATATGGGCAATAGCTTTTTCAGGGATTTGAAAACTGCAAGAAAATGGCAAGAGTGCCAAAACAGATATGACGCTGGGATATTCAAGATTATGTCTTCCTAAAGTTTTAAAGAAGGCAGCTGCTGCCCAGGGCTCTGACTCACATCAGGGTTGCAGTGCTGGTGATAGAAACCCTGTAGAGTTTGTCTCTAACCTTACTAGAATGAAAGGTTTGAAATCCTGACGCATAAGAAGCTATTCAATCTTACTGACAAAACCTATTTTCCAGATATAGTTCAAGAAGGAGAAGCAGTCATGACAGATAAGACAGGTTGACAAATGCAGAAGACTTTTATATCAGTATCCAAAGGATTCGGTATTGGTAGGGTCCTCTTTAGGAGAAAAGCTTTTATTGCACAAAATGGTGTCTAGAGATCTCTCTGAGAAAGGTGGCAATGTTTGCTCCTGGGTTTCTCTGTGCCCCTGCAACAGAGTCTTCCTCAGAGGAGAGGATCCAAAGGAAGTACAGCCTAGGGATTGCTAACTGTAGTATTCTTGGTTATGGTGTTGGCTGAGGAGCAAACCCTGCCCCTGAGGATGCTCAGGACCAGTCCTGTTTTGCCTGTCAGGCAACATGTTGGAAGGGTTATTTAAAAAAAAAAAGCTTTGATATAACCACATCTGGGACTTGGTGTGGGTCTATCCCAAAAGTCCGTTTGGCCTCATCACTTGGTCCAGAAACTCGCACAGCTGTCCAGGTTGGCGGCTGACTTGATGCTGTAACATTTCTTCACAGTCATGTCACGGTAGGCTTTCATGGTTTTAATGATCTCCCCCACCTGAGGGGTTTCAAAGAACATCTCTCTCTCATCCACAGTCAATTTGAAGGTGTTGGGCTGGAGAGTCCCAGAGAAGACAATACTGGAAAGTTTCCAAAGTTCGCACACAGACACATTCTCTGTGCTGACACTGAGCCAGAGGTCATTTGGGAAGCCACCCTCCTTACACTCAACATCAAAGAGGGTAAAGCCATAGCCTGACCATTCCTTCATGAAAAGCTTATTCTGTTCCTGATGCACGACCTGATGAAGAAGAATCAGTCTAGTCTATAGTCCCTATGTAAATGATTTGCAAAGAAGCCCATTAAATAAGGAGGCAAACTAGGGTTACTAGCCTCCCGGAGAGACCTGGACTACATAAAATTGATCTTAGATAACAGCTGAACTGGATGAAATCGTTGACTACAATTTTATTAATGCTTAAAGGATCTGGAATGGGAGAGTTGACTTTAGAAATGAATCTGACTTCGCAACCCACAAAGCAAATATATCTAGCTCATGATGTAGCGGACAGTGCTGGACAGGCCCATAGCCAGAAGGTTTTTATCGTATACCCTTGACCGAAGAACGGTACACTCCTTCTATCTGGGATGGTCATCCTCTTTGACTGAGAACGCAGCTTTGGGAGGGACGCGCATGGAGCAGTGAGGGAGGTAGGGGACACATGCCCAGCCAGCCAGATCAGCCGAATGAACCCTGGCGATCAATGGGGTGACAGATGTTGCAGCCAGATCGCCCTCACATCCAGAAGATTTTTATTAGGGGGGGCAAATGAGTACAGTGGTGATGAACGCATCATCATTTATTTATTTTATTATGAATGAGCTATGTTGTAGTGCAAAGTCTCTACAAGAGATCATTCTACAAAGAAGGTTAAATGGTAATCCATTTTGATAGATTCAGGTGGGTAGCCATGTTGGTCTGAAGCGGCAGAACAAATACCTATACAATAACTATATCATGGACTGGTAATTTCTGTTTTTGTTTCTGTCACTAATTGGCCCTTCCTGGCAACTAACCTTCCCCCCCCCCCTTCCTATATCTAATGCTTGGGGAAATTCTGTTTCACTATATCTGAAGAAATGTGCTTGCACACAACTTTGTTGATCTTAAAGATGCCACTGGACTCAAACTTTGTTCTGATTATCCATTTTCTTTAAAACCATATATCCCTCTCTCCTAGGGGCCACCTACCTCGTTTGGTAGTAGAGAGATGGAAGTAGAGAAGGGAGAGATCCCATCCCTGCACATGCAGACGCGCCAAGCATTCAGCAGGTAGTTCTTTTGTGATGTGTGCTCCACAGCAGGCGCCTTGCCCTCTGCTGGGGGCCGACTCCTGAGGATGCTGGCTTGGGCCCCCCCTTCCCCACTCAACTTGGCAAAGAAGGTGCCATTGCAGCAACAGCAGCATCCTCTCCAGGGGCGCTCACGCCCTCACTCCAGCCATGGCGCATGCTACCCCAGCCAGGCTTTGACCTTCGGTGGTGACTGCACATGCCTCCAGCCCACCTCCACTGCTTTCCTCCCATGCTCATGAGGCTCCAGCTTGGTTTGTGCCTCACTGGGAAGCATGGAGGAAAGGAAAACAAAAAAGGCACAGCTGAGGAGACAGGGCACATTCAGGAGGGGGAGGTCACACTTGTAGGCCCCCTCGTGGCTATGAGCTTGGTGTTGGACCTGGTAAATCCAGGTTCAAATCTCCGCTCAGGCATGATGTTCACTGAGTGAACTTGGGCCAGTCACTCTCTCTCCCTCCTGCCTCCCTCCCTCCCCCTCTCAGTCCAACCTATCTTACAGGGGTTTTGTGATGATAAAACGGAGCAGAGGGGAATAATATACACCAAGGGCAAAACTAAAATGTACTAAATAAATAAATAAAGACAGTTGGGGAGGCATCAACTCCTCACCCTGACAAATGCTTGGGTAAGCTCGTCCTGTCCCACATCCAGAAGCAGTTTATATTTATTCCTGGTTATTCACAGGCACAAATCAAAAGTGATGAAGGCTTGTTTAGCCCCATCCCCAAACACCTTAGCTCTGGGTAGATGAGGTAGTCAGGCCCCACTATGGTGCTTGTCCCATGTCTCACTAACCCAGTAATCTCCAAAAGCTGGTCTAAGGAAGCCTCCTACATCTTCAAAGCAATGCCTTCAGGGACTCACAAACAGTGTTCCCTCTAAGCTGAGTTAGCGTGAGCTAGCTCACAGTTTTTTACCCTCCGGCTCACACATTTTTGTCTTAGCTCAGGAAGGAGGGCTCCAGTCCAGAGCAAACTAATTTATGCAGCAGCCAAATCAACAGCCTGCTCACAGCTTTAATGCTGGTAGCTCACAAAGTAGAATTTTTGCTTACAGGACTTCACAGCTTAGAGGGAGCATTGCTCACAAATATTTGCTAGTTCATGCATCCTTGTTTTACTTGCATTTTCCCTGCCGTTGTAACCTATTTGAAATGCCTAGTGAGTCGCTCCATCACCTGTTCCTCAACTGTCCCTAAGCGTCACAGAACTAAATATAGGATTTCAGTCTACGGCATTCATATCTCCTCTTGGCCATCAGCCCATTTGGGCCAATGGAAGAGGAAAAAAATGATTAGTTCCTCATGTACTACAAAGAATGGGAGGGTGTAGAGCTGCTGGAAACTTGCACCTGGGAGGTATAAACAAGCTCTTTTAAGCCCACCTGATGCCTGCCTCCCCACTGGCTACCTTGCTTGAGGTTGTTGCAGCTGGGCAAAAGTGTTTGTGTTTCACATCAGGTTGTCTCCTTCCCACTAGAACAGAAGAAGAGTGGCTAAATCAGAGGCTTATTTATTTTTTAGACTTTGCATACGCCTTCCTATGAGTTTAACTATTATATGTGGCAGGACAGCTAATCAGGAACACTAAGGAATCTGGATAGGGCTGCCAGCTCTGGGTTGGGAAATACCCAGAGATCTGGGGGTTGGAGCCTCGGGAGGGCAGGATTTGAGGAGGTAAGGGAGTATAATCAGCAGAGTATAATGCCACACAGTTCACCCTCCAAAGCAGCCATTTACTCCAGGGGAACTGATCTTGGTTGTCTACAGATTGATTGTAATAGTGGGAAACCTTCAGGTGCCATCTTGAGGTTGGCAACCCTCAGGAACTGCCAAAACAACCCCACCCTCAAAGTGCCAAAGTGCATGATACACCTGATGTGCCAGGTCACAGGTACAGGACCAGACTTACAGTCAGACACTGAAAAGTACGCAGACGGAGAGTGATTTCAGCAAAGCGTACTTTATTCGATCAGGAACAAGACCACCTGGGCCGGCTCGCAGGCCGGCTTATATCCACCGAGAAACCCCCACCCAAAACACACCCCTACTACCTAATAGGTTATTTACAGTGGCCAAGAGTCCCATAGGCTCTCGGCCGGGAACCTAGCCCCCTGATTGGAGCGGGCTAGGATCCGCATAGTCCATTGTCTCTTGGAGCTAAGTTCAACATTTGGGTCTGACCACGTGGAGCCCAAGCCGGCCACGCGGTCTGGACTGGATGCATTACAGACACACACTGTGGAACCCACCTTAAAAATTCCTCATTCTCTCATTGCTGCAAGGGAGACCTGTGAGGGGAGACGAGGAGCTCTCCATTTCCCCCCCACGCTGATTTTGCCAGCGGAAAGGGAGGTAGGGGGCTCCCCCCCTTCTGCCCCAGGAAGAACATATAGATCCAGAGAAAAGGGTCAAAAAGCTTCTCCACCTGCCTTTCAGCTGGCAGAATCAGGGTGAAATGGAAACTGGAAACTCCTTTTCCCCACCCCCACCAGTGCTCCCTCGCAGGACCAAGTGAACCAGTGCTTTTTAAGGTGAGTTTCCCTTGTGGACATATGACTGTGAGTCTGCTCGAACACAGACACACACACGACACAGCAGGCTAGTTACGCGCTAAGTATCAGAAAATGGAGGCAGGGTTACGCTCGCATACAAGTTGGCAAGTCAGTGTCCCTCATGAGGAGGAAAAGTTAGGTGTAAATATTTCAATTAAGGATTAATTAATTAATTAGTACACTCGCTTGCAGCAGTGGGGAAGCAGATGTGCAGTAGCAGCCACTTTAGGAGGATCGTAGGGTTATAGTTCCTGGGGGATGTTAGCTTAAGAAATCTTTTCATTGCTTTTGGTGCGGTTTTGTTTCATCCATTTGGCGTGCTTCTCTATAGCAGGCAAAAAGGTGGAACTTTAGACCTTGTTTGAAGTTTACCAGTAAAATTATGGCTGTAATAAATGCAGCCTCATCTGCTCCATATGCAGTGTTATAGACCTTTAAAAAAAAAAAAAAAGCAAGACTCATTGAATTCATTTTATCATTCCAAATTGCTCATCCATGCTCCGTACTTGTTATCACCCCTCTGAAGGTGGCTGAAAAAAGGAAGCCTTTCTGACCTTATGCGGCCACTGTTGCGCTTATGGGGAAAACTCATCACAAAGTTTGAGCCTGTTGAAAAGAACACTTGGCTGAGGAGGTTCATGCTGCTGAGTACTGGAAATGGGGAAGACTGAAGTGGTAGAGCAGCTAATGGAGCCTGAGTCAGAAATTTCATGTTAGATGCTGCAGAATACTTTATCCTCTTCAAGATATACCTATTTCTTTGGTCTTCCTACAAGCTCTGTTTGTCTCCAGACTTTCTTCTGAACTTTGAGGAATTTTAAAAGAATCCAGCACAGAGAGAAGAACAGGTCCAAACTTTACATATGCCATGGCCAGGAGCACCTTTTACCAGCTTTACCTGGGGAGCCAGCTGCAGCCATTCTTGAACAAAAAGGAAACACAATGTGTTAATATCTAGATTAGATGAGTGAAATGTGTTCCATATATGGCATGGCCCTTTGAGAGCGTCTGGAATGCTGCATCTGGAATACTGACCGGAGTGGATCATACCTAGGCTTGCCAAGTCCCCCCGGGGGGCGGGGAAACCCCCGCCACAGAGGCCTGTTCCCCGCTGCCACCGGATCGGGCCCCAGGGGGAACTCCACCCCGACGTGCACATCACCAGGAAGTGGCGCGACTTGGTTTTCCCTCAGATGGTCGTGGCCCCGCCCCCAGCGTGCCCAGCGTCGTCACGTCACTTCCTGATGACGTGGATGCGGCACTCCGGGATCGACCCAGGAGTCCCCCGCTCCGGAACAAGGTGAGACTTGGCAACCCTAATCATACTGATCATATCACTCCAGTCTTGTTGCACCAACAATGGGTTACTATTTATTTTCAGGACCATTTCAT